TTTGGACCTCATTAAAATTCCAATAAAAGTTAGGGATAATACTGACTATTTATACCCAAAATGAACGGTGCTTTCAATGAAATAATCTAATTTACGTAATAATATCCAATAAGTTTATTTTTGGGTACGGTTAGAATATGTATTAAGGACTCAAAAAGGTGACCTTACCAACGAGGAGTTGGATCAAGCGGTAAGAGGCTTGTTCCAGCTTAAGCAAGGTCTCGAGTTTGAGTTCTTGTGTATGCAGCAGTCCTCGCTGGGAGACTCACCCACCATTTCTAGGTGCGCGACGCGGGTCGGGTCCGAATTAGTCGGGGTGAAGCCTCGAATACCGGGCGGGAAACAAAAAAAAAAAAAAGTGACCTTGATTTATATTTAGGTGGCACATTTATTGAAGATTAGAAGGCTAAATTCCAATCAGATATCTTTGTTTCTTAACTTATTTTGGGAGGTAATTCCTATATTTGAGTCCTTTTGGTAGATACTTCTACGGTTCTACCGTTGTATTATGGAAAAGATTATGACATGGATGTTGACTAAATGGCAGCGGACTTGGTCTTAGAAGCCTAGTTTAATTTAATGGCTTCCATCAAACAATAAATAGTGGCATATTTATTTTAACATACAGTGTGTAGGTGAAAAGATGAGAAATAATTTTTTTTTATAAGATGTTAAATGATGAGTTATATAATAGAGAATTACTCTTTTCTTTTATTCTCAAATTTGGTTTCACTCATTACAAGATTTAAACTTAAAATTTTTAATATGGAAATTCAAACTCTTAATTACTTTAATATCCCTTATGAGACATGAGAAATAACTTGTTGCTTTTTATTGTGTAAATCAAAATTTTTTAAAAAAAATGAAATCATTGTTCTCTCCAAACTTCTTCTTTCTGGTCTCAAAGACCCAAATTTTAGAAGTTCTATTTGCAGTTGGAAAATTTTACCCATTCACCTATTTAGCAAACAGGTCAATTTTGATTTGTATGTGTAAAAGTAGGATTTTATATCCTATTTATGGTTAATTCTTCCCATGCCACATTGTGAATGGATATTAGAGGTTTAATGTTT